ATTCAATGTTAAAATCTCTGTAAGAGCCTCCCTAATCTTCGAGTCAATGACGCTACAAAAGAAAATGTTTACATTGATACATTCTTCTTTTTTTTATCTAACTTGCAGAATCCCTTTCCCAAGTTTTGAAAACCCAGATATTTGTCTACTCCAATTGAATTCATGTAAAATATATAAGTAGACTCCCTTTCCACAGAAAAGTGGTATCAAAAGAGGAAACTGCATGCCAAATGTTGTATGTTAAGAAAACAGACACGCCATAATAGTTCAGGAGTATTTACTGTATATCAGACCTGTATAGAGAATATAATGCTTGGTTCCTCCTTTGCTGTTTCCTTTCAGCCTTTTAGAAGAATCCACACCGTACTCTCCAGATGTTCCTCTGTGTCTACAAGCTCCCCCTTTAGTCTCCTTCACCAACTTGTCTTTTTCTACCTCTTCCCAGTTCCATCTTCTTGCTGTACTACATCTTACAGACTGTATTTCCTCTCACAGTCCGATCGTCCCTTGAGCTCATCAGTATCAGACCTCTTGTACATTATCCTCTCAACTCCCATTTCCAACTGATTGGCAGTGCTTCCCATCCTGCCACAGCTAACGGGATCATTTACTGTCACCAGACTCAGCCATCCAAGTCCAGCACTAATTTTCCTACACAGGACTTACCTGATCGCCACAATCAGGATATTTTTTTAAAATTTTTTTCCTGTATTGTGCTATTATATATGGGATATTGTCTCTGTATTGTATAATTTAACACTCAACTGTCTCCTGATCACAATTCTATACATGTCTCTAACCTCATCAGGTAATCGGCAGAGAAGGGTGGGTGTGAAGGAGAGGAGCTGCTGAGGTCTAAAGTTTTATTTCATTGATCCAGTTTAACTTCATAAAGTTTTGGGTTCTTTATCGGTGAAATAGAAGTAAGATGCCCACTGATAGGGATGTTGAAAAGACAATATGGAGTAGGCAGTTTGTAGGGACTGGGAAAGTGGAAACCGCAGGAGCAGTTGTGTATGTTTGCTGTGAATCCTTGAAGGCAGACATGTGACCTCCAGAGCACTCAGCCAGGACTTTGTTATGCTATTGACTAGCATCTGCATGTCTCCATGCCTGTGGCTTCTGCTCCTGCGTAATGTAAATATCTGTGTCTTCCAATGGTCTTAGGCTCTACAGCAGAGGTTCCACAGGTTAACTGCTAGCATGGTCGCCTAAGACCATCAGAAAACACAGATATTTACATTATGATTCATAACAGTAGCAAAATTGTAGCTATGAAATAGCAACAAAAGTAATTTTATGATTGGGGGGTCACCACAACATGAAGAACTGTATTAAAGGGTCGTGGCATTAAAAAGGTTGAGAACCATTGCTTTAGAGGATGACTTTAGAGTAAGAGGACTATTCGAAGTCCCTGTCCAAATCTTGGCTTTTTAAAATTTATTGAGAAACTTGCCTTTTTAAAAATATATATATTTTTATTAATTTCAGAGAGGAAAGGAGAGAGAAATATCAATAATGAAATAGAAGCATTGATTAGCTGCCTCTTACACATTCCCTACTGGGGATCAAGCCTGCAACCTGGGCATGTGCCCTGACTGGGAATCTAACATTGATCTCCTGGTTCATAGATCAATGCTCAACCACTGAGCCATGCTGGCCTGGCTTGGCTTTTTTTTTTTTTTTTCTTTCTTTTTTTCTAAAAGACACCTTTTGGGATCCACAAGAAACAAGGTAAATAAAATAACTTTTATCATTCCTTTTTTTTTATTTATTTTATTTTATTATTTATTGTTGACAGTATTACAGATGTCACCCATTTCCTCCCATCCCCTCTCCATCCAGTCCCACCCAACCCCAGGCCCTCCACACACTATTGTCTACAACCATGGACTATGCATATACGCATATATGTTCTTTAGTTAACCTCTTCCTGTCCCCTCCCTTCTTTCTGATTACTAGATATGCCTCGGAGAAATCTGACATCTCTACAGCTTTTGAAGGAATGTGAGAAAGAGACAGCTTCTCAAGAGGTATTTACTGCATTGCAATATTACTTAAGAAATAAACAGACTTTTCTCTGCCAGGGTCCTGGAATGAACGTCCCTTTGAGTTCCCATTTATGTTTTTGTTCCTTTGGAATTTGCAGTATTCTGTGGTGGCTTTAACTATCTAAAACCTTAAGAGGAATTTTTCATTGAAAGGTTTAGGATACTCTTTTAAAAAATGTATATATGTGTGTGTGTGTGTGTGTGTGTGTGTGTGTGTGTATATATATATATATATTTATATATATATATATATATATATTCAGAGAGGAAGGGAGAGGGAGAGATAGAAACATCAATGATGAGAGAATCATTGATTGGTTGCCTCCTGCATGCCTCCTATTGGGGATGGAGCCCGCAACCCAGGCATGTGCCCTTGACTGGAATCGAACCCAGGACTCTTTAGTCCCCCTGCCGATGCTCTATCCACTGAGCCAAACAATCTAGAATACTCTGTTTTCGGACCAACTTTTTATTCCACCTATTCCTTCAACTAACATTTTCTATACTTTCTGGCCCTATGCCCAAAACAAAAATGAAGCCAGGAACATAAGATATTTAAACTTCAAATGCTTTTGTTTCACTCGATTGAAACATTCCTATTTTGGAGCACTTCATTCTCTTTTACATTCTCTGAAATACAATATATAAAGGACAAGGAACTCTCAAAAACAAAGTTGGACCTGTTTATTGGAGAAATGATGAGGAACATTTTTAGAGATTTTAATATCAAAATCAGAAAACTTTTTAAAAAAATATTTTTTTATTGATTTTTTACAGAAAGGAAGGGAGAGGGATAGAGAGTTAGAAACATCAATCAACTGCCTCCTGCACAATCCCTACTGGGGATGTGCCCACAACCAAGGTACATGCCCTTGACCGGAATCAAACCTGGGACCCTTGAGTCTGCAGGCCGATACTCTACCCACTGAGCCAAACCGGTTACGGCAATCAGAAAACTCTTAATGACTCTTATAATGATGGATGTATTTGTTAGAGAAAAATAGTATAGAAATGAAGGAGACCTAGTAGTTATGGATTGATTGCAAACTGGCAGGCCACAGGCCACATGTGGCCTAGATACATTTAAAATGTGGTCCTTACAGTTTTTAAAATTAAGGACATATTACATAAAAAAAAACATCTGGAAACTTCGGTTTTCTGTGAAAAAGCATTTTTAGAACTGTGGCAACAATCAGCTACAGTAGGAGCTGCCCCATTTATACTGGTTTTCTCTTTCCAGAAGCCAAAATCCACATCTCCCTGCCTCCCATGTGTCTCCTACCACTCCGTCTCACCTGTCAGAGCTCTGCACACACTGGCAATGCAGGTACAGGAAAGTTTTAAAGGCAAAGAGCCTGGATTAAAAAAAAAAAAAAAAAAAAAAAAAAGCTTCCCCCTTTACTAGCTCTGTAGCCTTCAGCAAGCTGTGAGTTTTCAGGCCCTTCAGCTTTAAAATGAAGATAATTCCTTGACCTCACAAGGTTGTTATGAGGATTCAAAGGGGAGTATACAGAAAGCTCTTTGTGAACTATCATGTAAAGTGTCATCGTTATGCATCTCCCAGGCCCCTTTCAGCTGCATAAATCCCCGCTACCTACCTCAGTTACATTGGCTTCCTTGATTCTCACATTATTGCATTCCGTACAACACAGTTTAAAATCCAAAGAAAAAGAATTTTATATATGCACTTACATCATTTCATAAAAGATAGGAAAGATGGACAAATATTAAAGGAAAACAAAATGAATTGTTGAATGCCACTGGATCTTTACTAGGTCATCTCTGTTTGTGACGAAGGTATGAAATTGGTGCAAAGTGTAATGACCAGATGGCCGACCCTTTCCAATGCTGTGCTATACGTTCCCCCACGAGGCAGCTGAGGCCTTAAGGTAAAACCGACAGCCAGTGATTAGAAGATCCTAAGCACTGGCCTCCTCCTTAGGTCTCACCCAGTCCTCCAGTAACGGGCTCACTCCATCAGGAAAAACAACAGTGTGGTCTACAAAGCTTTCTCTGGGTGTCCTTCCTATGTTTTAACAGGAGCTCCGAAAACTTAGAACCTGGAGTAGTAAGACATGTCACACATTTTATATCTATTAATACATCTACCTAGATATGTCAATAATCAATAAGAGACTGGAAAAAAATCTCCGAAATGGAAGAGGTGCAGAAAGCTGCCCTGAAATAATAATGCAGTGGATAGAGAAATGTTAGCAAAGATATGTGTTATGGATGCTATCTCCTCACATTGGGCAATATCACATATGTATTCCTGTTCTGGTCAATTTACCACAGAAGGTCATCCTTATGTGATAAATGTATTTATCTTCTGCTTTTTCAATGTTAAGATAATCACGCCCTGCTGAATGAACTGCAAAATACAATGAAATAGAGAGGAAGAAAGGATTTTAACTGGAATCAGCTTTCTTTATAAGATCACCAAAATGAGAGTAATGTATGATTCAAGACACACACCCGTTGAAAAAAAAATTCATCTGACGAATCTTCTGTAAAGTATATCATATAGTGCAATTACCGCTTTTCCTAAAGTTGAATGAAATCATCGCCTGAATACAGATTAACGAACGCCAAATTACCACATGGTTCTCAGTGCATATTTTTTATTTAAAAAAAAAATCAAAAACAAACAACAGCACCAGGGGAAGACATCAGTTCTTTCCACAGATGTCCCAAGGCTGATGTTTCAGGAAGTCTCCTTGGCAACCAAGGAGCACAGCACACCTTGGGCTGGGGGGAGGGGAGGAAGGCGATGGCAACTCCAGGGCTGGTAGGATAAGTCGCCGGGAGTAAGCCCCTGAAATTTCAATCAACTCCAGCCTCGCCCCACCCCCACGCCCCTGGCGCCCCGGCGGCAGCAGCTTCCCACCTCCTCCCTCCAGTCTGCAGCCAGCAGCCCCGAACAGGTGCCAGGGAGGGAGTCGGACTCACCCGACGTGGAGGAGAGCGTTCTGCTGGGCTCCGTCCCCGACGCGGCAGCCAGCGCAGGCACCGGGCTGGCTCTCCCCGGTGCACAAGGGCCCCGCTTCGCCCCGCGGTGCTGGGGTTCAGAGAAATCGCAGCAGCTTTTCGCTCTGCCGGTTTGGAGATGCGGTTGTGAAGAAGGAGCGGTGTGTGCGTGAGCGTGTGTGTGCGTGTGTGTGTGAGTGTGTGTGTGTGTGTGTGTGTGTGTGTGTGTGCGCGCGCGCGCGCCCACGCGCGGGTGTCAATGAGTGAGTGCGCGTGTGCCTGCGTGCGCGCGCGCCCCTGCGCGCTCCGGGGCTCCCCCGCGGCGAAACCGTGTTTCCCAGCGAAGCCCCCGCGGCGGCCGGTCCCGCAGGTGGCACGTCCGGCTCGCTGTGCCCGGGGCGGCGCGGTGGCTCTCAGACGCACCTCGGCGGGGCCCGGGGCGGGCGCAGAGGCGCAGACAGCCCGGCGGCTCCTCCCCCTCCCTCCCTCCCGCCTCCGGCGACCGGGCACACACGCCCGCCCCCCGCCTCCCCTGCCCCGGGAGCGCGCACGCCGCGCACCCCGCACCCCCGCCCGGTGCCCAAGGCCAGCCCGGCGCGCGCCCGCTCCCCCCGGAAGTCCCCTTCCCCTGCGCAGCCCGGCCCTCGGGCACCTGTGCTGCAGGGATGCGGGGTCACCGGCCGCCTCTGCTGCGGCCCCTCTGGCGACGACCGATACCAGAGAAGCCAGTCTGCTGGCTTCCCTCTCCCTATCCCAGGGCTGGCAAGCAACCTGCCGGAACAGACGCTAGGAGCCCAACTTGGTGTGTCTGCAAGCACTGGCCCTGCCTCCCTCTCCAGGACCTGACTCACGTGTCAAGTTCAAAATGCCCCTATTTCAACAGGCTGCTTTGGAGTCCCCCTTAGGATAGTAGCCTTTATGGTACTGAAGAGACCGGCATCACTGTGACCTTAAGAAATGATAGGGGACTCAAAAGAACTGTTGTCCCAGAAAGGAACTCACTACAGACTGATTCATTTGCCTCTCAGCATAACCATCATGGCTTGTCGCAGATTAGGTTATTACAAGGGTATTTCTTGGATCACATGATCTCACACATCTAGAGGAAATAATGAACAACATAAACTGATGAACAAAAACAGACCCAGAGAAAGAGAAGGAGCGATCAGACTTTCAAACCTCAGAGGGAAAGTAGGGGAGGGTGGGAGTAAGGGGAAGAGATCAACCAAAGGACTTGTGTGCATGCATATGGGCCTAGCCAGTGGCCATGGACAACAGGGGGGTGGGGGCATATGTAGGGAGGGGGTTGGGATGGGAATGGGGGTATAAGGACAATTATGTGAGGCCATAATCAATAAAATTAATTAATTAATTAAAAAGAAATGATAGGGGATCACCAGGGGTGGATGGAAGCCTTGAACCTTAGGCATGAGGAAGGGTGTGTGGTTACAGTCACTTCAGCATGAAAACTGCAAACACCAAACCCCAGACACCATTAAATTCCAGGGCCTGGCCCATTCTTGTGCCACTTGTGGGTCTTTCATGTTCCTGTGTAAAATATGCTCAGAAAAGCACACTTGGGCATAGTGGGTTGTTTTACTAGATATAAACATACCATATTCCACTTTTGAAATGAAAACCTTGTCCCTATGTGGAGTTAAGCTACCAGGTGATGCAATTCTAAATTAAAATAAACTATTTGGTCCAAGTTCAAGGTTTAAACTACTGCAAAAAATGGAATTTCACAGAATGTTAAGTCCCATGTCTTGGAGATTGGTGTTCTTCCACACTTGGGCTAGGAACAGTACCCTGATCTATTTTGAGATGACCTTAACATTCTCATTAGTCTCAAATCAGTGGTTCAGCAATTTTTCCACTCTCAGACCTACAGGTTTTCTGAAGCTGTGTGCACCACACCTCACCCCTTGTGGCCTGTAGGTCTGGCTGGCTCCCAGGACTTGATTCACATGGTCTTGATATTTGAACTTTAGGATTCTGGGGACCTACTTTATCTGACAGTCCTGGACACCAAGGTGGGAGCAGGAGGAAGAATGACAAACAACTGATGGCAAACAGTAGGTGCAATGCAGTTCTCTGGAATTTTTCATACACAACTTGACATTTTTCATTGGATGCTGTGTTATGTTACAAGTGTTACAGCATATTTGAACTCAAAACACTGACAATGATTGGTGTCAATAAAACACGCCTTTAAGATTTATAAAGTATTTGTCACTAAGGTGGCTATCCTTAAAACCTGAAACCCATTTATATGGACTGGTTTATCTGTTTGTTTAGAATAAATAGAAGCTGTGTATCATTAAATACAGTTAAATAGAAAGAGCAAAGATATAGCTATTTACACAGAAATATAATCCTTATTCCACCAACTCACCATCTGTGTGACTGCAGAATGGTCTCTTTCTGCCCTAGCCGAGTCTGTTTGTTCATTATTGTATTCTATGTGTAAGCACAATGTCTGTCACATATCAGCGGCTCAAGAAATATTGCTGACTAACACCTAGATGTTGAGGATCAAATAAGAAAGTGTATGTTAAATGCCTGGTAAATGTCTAGTTCAGAGAGTGCAATGTTTTTCCTAAATGACTTCATAAGATTGATTTATTGTGTTGTTGTTTTTAATTAAAAGAAAAAGTTTACTTCTCTAAAGTACATGAATCCATAGTTTGTTAACGAGCCTTCAAAACTCAACCAACACGAGTGTGTTTTCTGGTATACTGTTACTAGAGGAACGAATAGGTTTTAGGCACTATTTCTCTCTTGAGTACCATTATATATGGTCTTTCCTTATTAAGGACATAGCTTAAAACAATGCTTCCCAGAAGCTCTGCTTTGGAACACTATTAATTTATTCAACAAAAGTGTTCTGAGCTCTTAAGATGTGTTGGGCAGTGTTATTAGGATAGGGCTTTCAGTTGTCAAAAAATAAAATAAAACACAGACATTGTCCCTGTTTCGATCTAGTGTTATTGACAAGTAAGCTAAGGAAGAAAATGAGTGGATCCTTTGGTTGCAAAGCAACAGAAAACTCCACCCCGTGTAAATAAAAAGGACTCCGATGGAGGAATAACAGGAACTCTGATCACTGATGGGCATCTTACCTAGATACCCAAGCTAGGAAGCTGCAGGAGTGAGAGCAACTCCAGAGAGCATAATGGCAGTGACAGCAGGATGGTGTAGGGGCAGAAATGTCATGACCAGGTATCTCCCATGCTGGAATAAGTGGACCCCAACCTATTGTTCTTTGATACTCCCAATCAGATTCCAGCTTTCAGGTGTCTTAACTTAGTGCACTACCCAGTCCCTTAGCTGGGAGAGGTTAGGCCTCCTGAGTAGAGCCCCATCAGATTTAAGAAGGAAATGTGGATCCTGGGGATGGCTGGGAAGCACAGGAAATTTTACCATAGGAAATTGGGGCTGGGGTCAAAGGGGTTGAGGAAACACTGGAAACTGGCTCCCAGTCACACTGTGGCATTAAAGACCCTGAGATCTCAAAGTAAAGAAAGCTCATTCACTTTCCTAAACAACTATCCTGAAGTTTGGCTGAATATGGAACACTTTTCCCCCCAGCTTACCTCCTAAATCAATTTGAGAAGCATTTTGGAACATGCTAGTATTTGCAGCATTTTTTTCTATCTATCATCAGCTTGTCCATGGACCAAGATATGAAGGCATAGCATATATTCAGTGTTGTCAAAGCTTTTATAAAATTGTCATTTTTAACAGCTCTGTGACAGAGTTGAAATAATCTCTAGATTGACAGGAATTTAACTTAAAAAACTACAACATAAAAGAGCTATGTCATAGCTCCTTCTTCAACTCTAGAATAAACACCTGTCACAGTTGCTTTGTCCACAGCATTTGAGGAGGTGTCATTCTTAATGCCAATGTCATGGTTTCCTGTCACAAACAAGTAGTGACATTAGAGCAGTACTTTATTATTGTACATTATTGTACTTCCAGGGAGAACAGATCATTATTAATTGTGCCAAAAAATTATTTTTGACTGATAATATCCAATTTTCAAGTGCAAAATACAAAATAACTCTAGCTAATGCTTCCACTTATTCAATTGAGGGTATATTTTGTAGCTAATTCATTCTATTCATTAGGAGCCGCTGCCACTCAAAACCAGTTCTGCTGTGGGAAAATATTTTACTGTTAATATTTTTCTTTTGTTATTGTTAATCCTCACCCAAGGGTATTTTTTCCATTGATTTTTCAGAGAGAGTGGAAGGGAAGGGGTGGGGGGAGAGAGAAAGAGAGAAAGAGAGAGATGAGAGAGAGATGAGAGAGATGCAGCGATTGGTTGCCTCCCACAAGCACCCAAATCTGGGCTGGGGGAAGAATCTGCAATCCAGGTATGTACCCCTTGACTGGAAATCTAACTGGTGATCCTTCTATGCGCGGACCAATGCTTTAACCTAGGGGTGTCGAACTCAATCAGAGAAGGGGCCAAAATCTAAAATCCAGCCTAAATCGCGGGCTGAATGGTTTACTGAACAGTCATAAACTGTCATTGTGATGGAAACGCAGCGGAGTGCAGTGATGACAGCGCGGTGCGGGCCACATTGCAAGGCCTGGCGGGACGGATTTGGCCCGCAGGCCTTGTGTTTGACACATGTGCAGTCTAACCATTGAGCAACAAGGGCCAGGGCTACTGTTAACATTTTTAATGTTTATATTCTCTGTTATGTTCTATGGTATTAAATGCTAGGGTTGTTTATATTGTTTCTCTATAATTTAGTACAACTAGACATGTAAAAATTTATTGCATTGAATAGAAAATAGTCCTTATCCTAAAGACAGAATATTTTGATTGCACTACTAAATAGGTAGAAACAAAATACAGAAGGGATTCTTAGTCATTATGAGGGTAAGATAAATTTTTTAATAAATTTTATATTTTTCATGTGATAAGATAAGCAAAGATGTGAACAGATGATAATACCCAGTGTTAGAGAGAATATGGACAAATAACTTATGAGATTCAAGTGGATACAAACATTTTAGATGACAACTTATTAATATTTGTGTTTGCTTTTGTTCAAATGCACATACTTTTTGGTATAGCAACTCTATGTCTGAGAATGTATCCTAGAATTCTCTCAAACAAAAGCACAAAACAGTGATACCCAAAAGAAAGAGAGAGAAAGGGTAAGGGGAGCAGGATAGGGAGGGAGAGACAAGTAGAGAGCTACAGTGCATCACTTGGGGACCAGCCAAATTATTAATATACTAAGTGGTCAGTTAAAAAATTAAGTAGATCTTTATACATTGATGGCAAAGATATATCACTAAGTGAAAAAAAATAAGCAAGTTGAAGATCCATATGTATAATATAATATAATATAATATAATATAATATAATATAATATAATATAATAGTTTACGTAAAAGTAGAGGAAA